AACTGCACATTCCAAATGACCTGCAAATTCTGCGGTTTAACCTCAGGCGTGATACATCTTACCTGACCATCGGTTACCCTGGTGTATGATTCGGAGCGGTCAAAGGATGCTGTGACTTTCAGACCTAGGTACAGCTCTCGAAACCAGTATTCCTTGAGCATCATAAAGGAAAGGTGAGGTGCCCTCACTTCCAATACGTGCGATGCTGGCATTAACAGAGTGACCATCCATTCAGCTAAGAATTCAATCATTTTGACTTCGAGTTTGGGGAGGATGGCTTGGACTGCTCGAAGCGCACCCGCAATGTCCGGGACATGCCGACGTGAGGGTAGTCCAATCGTTCGCTTGGCATACTCATCAGCGAAGTAGAGTCTGCACAACTTGGAGACCCACTGGCTCGGTTTTTCCATGTCTATGGTGATCTTGGCCAGGGGCCATGGGTCTGGGAGCGTGGACAAACAATGCAGTAATTCGGAGGTCAGGTCTGCGGAGATGACCGGGAGGGCTTCTCCTTGCGGGCGATAGTCAACTGCTGGTCCTACCGTGCCCTTGCTTTTCTGTGTATGTGTGCGGGCGGCTAGATGTACTGCAGTGATGGTGGACTCATATTGGTTGACCATAGCTCTTAAGTACTTACATGCACGGACGGCTGCTCTTCTTGTGTTTGGCCCATCTTCGGGCTGATTCTTGGCAGCCACTGCAAGGATGTCTCTCGCTTCTTCTTCAGGCGACCTTTTGGGTTCCGTACCGGGTGCGGGTGCAGTTAGAGCGGTACCTTGAACTGGCGCCTCTTTTGCGCGTGGCAAGTGGTCTGGAATCGGCAACTTAGGGTGTAATCTCCATCCATCAAAGAAGTATATACCAGGTAGGGACAGGATCTCCTTTCCTGGGCCCGTCTGCGCTACTACTTGCCCGGTGCGGGCTTTGTACAGTCCTGAGGGCAGGCACACGTAGGTGGGATAGGGTGTGCGATCAGCCGCGTAGGCATACAGGACGACTTCAGTAAAAGGGAGATCCTGCTCGGGGAGCCACTTGTGGTGAGATTCTAAGCCTGTTTGGACTTCTTGGAGACGCTCCCTGTTTAACCAGCGAAGGTCCGATCCACGCACCAATATTAAGCGGTATCTCGCTCGCTTCACTTCGTCGGCTTGCTGATCGTAATATTGGTTGGCGATTGCAAGTGGAGGGAACTCCCAGGTTGGTGCCGCGTTGAGTGACCATCGGCTTAACTGCGCTAGATTCTCTTGAGCTGGGTCAGGGTTAAAGTCAGGCCAACTCTATGTCGTTTGTCCTCTCCTGAGGCCCCGGATGCCATATGCAATTGTCGCAATCACCTGCGCCATGCCCATGAGTCCCATCATGTCTAACGGGGAGACAAGCAAAGTTAACGATTTGGATCGGGTGAGTCCTACCGTGATTCTGCCGAGACAGTCTTCGGTGTCTTCTGTAGGGGAGCCGTTGGAGTAGTATTTGGTATTCAAAAATCCTATACTGGGCTGAGCTACGATTGATACTTGTGCTGTTCCTCCTGCTGAATTGGCTATTGTTTCTACACGCAGGGTGCGGACGTAATCCCTTTTAAGCACGGAGCGGTTCAAGTTGTTCTTGTGATCTGTAGCCGTGGTCATGGTAAAAAGTCCATCTGCAAATCCAGCGTTGTGCGGGAACGGAGTGAGGACCTCTGCCACAAGAGTCTCAAGGTCTGTCGCTACCAACCCGTTGATCCTAGCATTAGTATCCCAAAGCACGAGTTGGAACCCTGGTGGCTTGTCGGGAAGTCCTCCCGAGGCAAAGCTTCCCAGTTCCCACAGGCCATTGATCTGTCTGCATAGATCAGGATAGCGAACTGCAACCACTGCATGGTATGTTACAGGGCTAACCCTAGAGCTAGAGGGAAGCATTAACCCCCAAGCATGGATGTCACTCACTCCGGCGGTCTGGGAATTTAACACTGCTTGTATGTCTCCAGCCATGGGTAGGAGAGTAGCGGCATGCTGCAAGATCCAGGCGAGGCGTACGAGGGACCGTGGAAAGTTAATGGTGGTGCCTGCCAGCAGTTCTGAATCCACAAAGCGGGAGTACCGTTGCATGTTGGGCGGGGCTGCTTCAAATTGGGCTCTTAGGCCTGGGAGAACAGTGCTTGCTGCACTAAGGTCTTCTGCATCCTGCGGCGAGAGGTGACTTGTCCATAGCTGACCTAGAGTGGGCTGTCCTCGTTTGAGGATTTGACTGAGAGCCGCCAAGCCTTCATTGGCCGAACCATCAAGTAGTCGGATCATTGCATCAGCAAGGTTGGCTGGCATATAATAATTGCGGTCACTTCGTAGCCCATGCTTCTTGGCCAACAGGAGCTGTCGTGATCGTTTCGCGTTGCGAGCTGCACGATCAATTCCGCCGGGTGTCTGCTCAGAGTCTCCTGTCCACAAGACCAGGGGTTGCTGTCTCAGTAAGCTGATGACTGCAATTTCTCGGTCAGTGCCATATTGCTGGCCTTCATCAATGACTAGGAGGGAGAGCTCTTGCATAAAACCACCCATTGTGGACCATTGCATGGTCAGGTCCTGGGCTACCGTTCCTCCAGTGGCTAGAATTAACTGACACTTATTCAGCATTTGCCTTCTTTCTCTCGGGTGTATGTCGAATTTTGTGTGGGAGTAGCTACTTTTGTTGCGTTCTTGGTCTCCCACTAGCCTACCTATGCGCCCAAACACCCCCGACGGGGGGTCGAGCCATAGGAGGAGGTCAGCAAAGGATCTCGTGCCGGAGTTCTCTTTACAGATGAATAGTATTTTGAGGCTGTCAGTGGCATCGATTTCAATCAAAGCTAGGATGAGGATTGCCATCGATTTCGACTTGCCTGCGCCGAAAAGCCCTTGGATACACAGGTCTAACCGATTGGTGAGCAACGCCATTGTCACTGCGCAGAGTGTGCCCAAGACATGCCCATCGAGCTCTGCGGCAAAGGACAGTGCAGTGGAGCGGGTCCAGGGGTGAAGCTCGCCCTCTACATGACATGGGATGAGCACTAGGCGTAGCAACTGGCCGCACAAATGCAAAAAATGTGATCTTTTGTTGCCATCCATTCCTTCCACTGCTGTTTGGACATTATAGATGCCTAATCCCAGGTGGTATCTGCACGGGGGGGTTTGCGCGACAGCGGTAACCTCTCTGGTAGGCTTAGTACATCCGAACATCCACATTGTGTGCAGGAAGAAGGTTCCTGGGACCGGGCTTTTCTGCCCTTGGACGGTAGCATCAATGGGATCCAGGAGCTGGCCGGAGTCCTCATACCAGTCTTGAAGGGCTTCTAACTGTTCTTGTGCGAAAAATTCAATGGCTGGCCCTGAGAGAAGGGCTATTTCGATGAATCTGGGGTTGCACTGTCTGTATATGCGGGAGGCAGGCAATTCATCTTTGCTTTTGGATGTGCGTGGCGTGATGGCGAGAACTAACCCAAATAGTACTTGAAGGTCTCCATCGTCATCGGCTGGCTCTTCTGTCGTGCCTACCATGGCAACTAGCCTACCCGTGCCAATGGGGCTAACTTTGTGATGGTGCGCATCGCTGGCTAGGAGGCTGTACACTTCAGTTTTGCCAAGGCTTGGATGTCGGAACGCAAATGCATCTTGTCCGCCTTTGACTTTCCAGTGTCCAAATTCGCTGCCTTTAAAGAGGAATTCGAAGGTAATGGGTTGCCAAGGTTGACGGATGGGTCCTGCACTCTGCATTGTTAACCCTGTTTCATTATAGCCTTCGTTGGGGCTGAGCATGGGCAAATAATAGTCTAACATGTAGACGGCCATGGGCAATTGCAAGGTGCCAAGGAAATGTTGAACCATGGTGGTATAGTTGAGCAACTTAGTCCTTGACGAGATGGTGACAGTTGCCAATGTGGCTAAGTATTGGGTTTCACTAACTTAAGAATGCATCCCAGATCGTAGGGTATTAGTTTGTAGGGGTTTGCCCGTTCATGATTTTCAGGAATGCCTACCTGATCTCAGAAATGCCTAGGTGATTTGAAAATGACATAGGCATTTCTGAAATTTAGGTAGGCTAATCTGAATTTTGGTAGACTAATTTGTTGTCCAGAACGTTGTGCAAACAAATGTGGTTTCATTTTTTTTACAAAATATTAAAAAAAACAAAATATTTTCAAAAAGATAAAATCTAAAATATGGTAAAACGTTGATTGAACGTTTACCTGCGGTTGTGTTATTGTAGACCTCACCTGCGTGAATTAAATCATGTCATTGCTTCGATCATGTGTGTGACTTGTGTCAATTTTGTCAATTGAACCGGTCAATTCTGTCAAAAATTTTTAAAAAATGTCAAAAATTTAAACAAAATAAAAATTTTAAAAAATAAAATTAAAAGAATGAAGATGAGAAGCTGAACTCAATTAGTCAGTCAGTCAATTGTTTCAAGTGCCACAATCAGCTGAAGTCAATTGATCCAATTGCCACTTCTCGCCGAGCCTGCAAGCAAGTTATTAAGAATTACTTTTGAAAAAATGCAAGCAGGACCAGCAACAAACAGTAGGCAGGCCTAGAGCGTCATCCAGACCTGATCTGGTTCTTGAGTCTTGCTTTGGGAATGCGAATGGGAAGTGATATTAATAAATGTCAAAGAAGTCAAGCATGCCTGCATTGAACTCTTGGTAGCGGAGCAAGCTTGGTAGCGGAGCAGAACAATTCCAACCTCAGTACACATATTTGAAGTATTTCAAAAAGCCAAAGGGCTAATGACTCAATTGAGCTAATTGACTGAAGCACATGAGATGGCAAGCGCTGAACTTGCAGTGCTCTGTCACTGATTGCGCATTTTTTTTGCTGGAGCAAATGCCATGTTGCCTCTTGACCCCACAGAGACGGTCAAAGTTGACAGAGGGACGCACCACTCAGGTGAGTCAGCACAAAAGAACCCTTGGGCTATAGTACTCTTGTCGCATTCAAGACACTTTTGAATGGACAACGCTGAGCAAATTGAGCGTTGTGAAGTTTTCACGAAGCTCGAATCTGCTCGTAGATTTGGGCGACACAAGCGCCAAACTCTGGCGTGTAGTGCTCGCTTTGCATGAGCATCTCCTTATTGCCAGTGTAAGTGTGGCTTCCATCCCAGCTCTGGCCACTGGAAGCCAAATTGTCCAAGCCATCTGGCCTTGGCCTGGCGATGGCTGCAAATAGGGAGCCAGGCCCTGAAGACGGATGCCAGATCTGGAGAGGCTTGCTTGTTGGGCCAGCAAAGCTTCCCATGTAGGTCACTGTCTTCTTGAAGTCGAAGAACCACAAAACATTACGAAGGGATGGTAGTTTTGGAAGCACACTCCCTGTGGGTTGCTCCAACACCGGAATGCAATCCAAGAGGAAACTGAAGAACATCATCATTGCAGTTACTTCCTGTTGAAGGTTGCCCTGCTCCACCCATGGCCTGCTTCTATCCCCGTAGAATGAATTCTCCTCATATCCCATGCTTTGAGAGATACAGAGCGGGACGAAGCTCGAGCATCTGGTAGCAAACCAGTGTAACGACTTTCGCCGAGAAGCCACTACCATGTCAAACCAAGTCCTCAGCCCCTTGGAACTCAACATGTCATGGTGGGGATGAAAAAGAATGTCCACAGAAGCTCCTTGGTGAAATCCTTGACGCAGCATCTCTCGACTGAGATGGGCTCGGCCAGCACAAAACTCAACAAATTCCAATTGATCCAATTCATTGAAATTGACCAAATTGAAAAGAAACCTTTCAGCAACCAGCACCATCATCTCCAAGCACGATGTTGCGCCGCGCAAAAAAGGATATGCTTCACACAAAAATGAAGGCCACACTTTCGAGGCCCTGCCGCCATTCTCTTGGTCAAAATCAAGAAAGTCTTGACATGTGGACTTGACATGATGCAGTCCTTCTGGCCAGTCGACACGCCTGCAGGGCAATTAACAAAATGGACTTCGAGGTTATTCATTGATCATCAAAGAATGATTTCAATTTCAATGCATGTTGTCTCAATTTTCCAAGAACAAAAACAGCATCAGCGCCTATTGAATTTGCTGAAGGCCAAGAAATCATAGAAATCTAACGAAGAAATCTGTTGGAGCTTGTCATCCAGCCATTTCTCTTGATCGTCATCTTCTGAAGCTGCACTTGGGCCTTGAAGGCTGGCACTGGCTGTCACAGTGGACAGCACCATCACCGGAAGAAACGCGAGGCCAGCTTGCTGGTCCATGATGAATAAATTGACACAAATGACCAAAATGGCAAAACCAACAAATGTGCTCATGGGCCAAAAAACCTGCGGTAAAAGAATTAATCAATCCAGTCCACACTTTTGTTTGGTTTCTTCACTGACAACAATACCAGGCCAAGGCTTCTGACCCTGCGTATAAAAGTAAAGGCTTCCTGAGTCCTTGGCCTGATGATGAATCTGGCAGCCTGCATTGGCATTGAAAGACCATCCCGGCACAAACTTCAAGCTTCAATACCACTGGCCACTACACAAATCAATCTGGTTCAAGTCAATTGAGTCAATTCACAATGACACATGACAAGCAGGCCCCAACATTTGACAAAGCATTGAAAAAATACCATCCAGGTGCAACCCTCAGGCTGTAATACCACACAAATCAATCAATTGAGTCAATTCACAATAAACACAAGCAGCCCAACATGTGACAGGATTATTTGATTCCCTTTTAAACAGAGCATCTTCTTGCGATTTTGCAAGTGCATCAGGTGAAGGACTTGCTTCAACCAGAGCGTCTTACCAAGGCCCTAAGGCGATGACTTTGTCATCCCAGCGCTCTTCTACTTTCTCCTGTTATAATTCCTAGGAGGTGGCAGCGCACGCATCTCATCCTTGAGGCCTTCAAAAACTTCATCTGGGACTTCTCCTGGAATTTGATCTCGGATTCCAGGCCCCAATTCCAACCCAGCCAAGACGAACTTTTCCCACATCCAAGTGTGCACTTCTTGAAGTGCGGTTTTCCAGTCACCTGTTGCTTTGAAACTTCTGGAATAATACATTTGTCTCCGGGTTGAATCCCACAGCTCATGTTGGACCGTTCTATTCTTGTCCATCTCGACTTGAAACCTGTGCGCATTCTTGTCAAGCCTCAACTTGAACCAACTGTTGGGCTCAATGCTTCTGAGGAGGGCAGGTGTTGAGTGCACTCGAGGCCCGACATCTCTGCCAGGCACAGGCGCTGGCCGAGCTGGCTCAGCCGGTTGAGCCGGGGGTGCAAGTTCAGCAGCAGGAGCTGCTGCTTCAGCAAGTTCAGCAGCAGGAGCTGCTGCTTCAGCAAGTTCAGCAGGAGGAGCTCCTTCAGCAACTTCAGACGGAGAAGCTCCTTCAGCAACTTCAGCAGCAGGAGCTGCTTCTTCGGGAAGTTCAGCAGGAGGAGCTGCTGCTTCAGCAAGTTCAGCAGGAGGAGCTCCTTCAGCAACTTCAGACGGAGAAGCTCCTTCAGCCACTTCAGCAGCAGGAGCTGCTTCTTCGGCAAGTTCAGCAGGAGGAGCTGCTTCCTCAGCAAGTTCAGCTGCTGCTTCAGCACATTCAGTTTCGTTTGCTTCACCTGGATTTGGCAGTGGGTCCTCCACATCTGAATTGACGCAATTGCCTGAATTGACAAAATTGACTTGAGCTTCTTCTTCCTCCAAATCCTCTTCGTCTTCCATCTTCACAGCATCGCTTGCTTCCTTGCCTGGTCGCTCGTCATCAGCTTCCCTCTTCCTTTTTCTTCCACTACTGCTTGCAGCCCCTTTTCCTGAGCCTCGGCCACTTCTTCCTTTGCCTTTGCTTCTTCCCTTCACCTTCCCTTTGGCTTTGGATTTGCCTTTGCCTTTGGCAGCCTTCTTCTTGGCTTTTTCCTGGAAGTGGAAAAAACGTAGATGCAATAACATGCCTGTCTTGTAAAAAAAATGAAAAAATTGAAATGCAGCTGGAACAAACTAGCCAGACCAGCAACATTAAACATTTTAATCATCCAAGTTGCTGCTTGCTCCTCCATTTTTTCGTTGAGCAATTTGCGCCACTTCAATTGCTTCTGAGTTTTCTCCTCCCTGTAGACATTCTCCTTGACAGAGCGAAACTCCTTCTGCTCATCCGCGTCCAAGTGGTCAAACACAGCTTTTACCAAAGCTGCTTGATCTGGATCAGATGATGACTTCTTTGTCGTCTTAGAGTCGCACTCCAAGACCAGCTCTGCAAAGTCATCTCCGAAATGCAACGCCAGCTTCAAAAGGATGTCCTTCCTAGACTTCTCTTTGATTTCGGAGCCAAAAAGATGCCTCCCCATCAAGCAAAGATCTGTGAATGTCAGGCCATTGGAGCGCCGCAAGCAATTCCGCGCAAATGTTTCAGGAGGCCCAACCTGTTGCCAGTGGATGCCAAACTCATTGCTCCAGACTAGCTTTGTTTGAAAAGCTGGCATGTTCAGAGAGCATTGCAGCCATTGACAACTTGACGACGAATCCAAAACCCATCGCATCATGCGATAATCATCATCAGCAGCGTCCACAAGCTTCAACGGCCAAGCAAGGGCTTGCCACTTCAAATTGCCCAAAATGAGTAGATAGACAAAATTGACTTCAATCACTTGCCCTTGAAAAGCAAGGCGGTTCAGAAGACCATCCTGACGGGTAATTCAACTGACACAAAAACATTTGCTACACATCATTTTGGTCATTTTCGTCACTTCCCTGGCCTCCAGGCGAACACCTTGGTCAGCAAGCCTTTGCCCGCAGTATTGAATCATCCATTGCCATGCCCCGTATGAGGTTCGAAGCCAATCCTCACTGACAGTGCGCCACATCTTCTTCGTCAGAATCTCTGAGTAGCGAGCTGGTAGACTATGGCTGGATGATTTGAATTCCTGGCGGCAGTTGAAATCATCTCTGGCATCAGGCCACTTGTCCAAGAATTCTTCACGGGTTAGGGCAGCTGGATGGACGATCCCTCTCTTGTCCAAAACCTCAGAGAATTGGCAAACAAGCTGCAACGTAGCTCCAGAGAGCTTCTTGTTGCTGCCTGGGTTCGTGGCCACCCTGCATGCTTGGTGAATGTCCTCAACCACTTTTGAATCCGCAAAGCCACCAATCAGCAGCTTGGCCAGCTCTTGCGCTGCTCCAAAGTCAAAATGACACAAATGACACAAATGACGACAAGGCAAATCGAAGACCGTCTCAATGTCACTGGCAAGCTCTGCTGCAAAAGGAGCCATGCTGCACCGCAAGGATTGAAACCAACGATGCTCCTTCAAGAGCCGCATTCTTGTCACCTGTGCTTGCTGGGGATCTAGAAGCCCAACCCATGTCTCAGGTGGAGCTGAGAACTTGGAAAGCGTTGCGCAACGATTCATCAAGCATCCAAGAGCATAGGTATTCACTCTGGCAATGAAGGCCTCCTGGTCAGGCACAAACCGCTCAACATCGGCCCAAGTTTGAGCGCTCCACGATTCAGCAAGGGTCTGGAGAGACTGATGACTCATCCATGACTCGACCATTTCCAAAGATTCAATGATTGCATGCTCTGGGCTTTTGACATCATGGATCTGCTGCGAGTACCACGACCACATTCCATATTGAACTCTGAAGATGATGTGGGCATCTTCCCAATACATCTGTGTCAAACAGCCTTTGAGGCCTAACAAACCAGACTGACCATCAGTGTCAAGATCTGTTGGGAAGTACCACGAGAGGAGCATGAGGGAGCTATGCCATTCTTTCAAGTGGACAGCAGCTCCTTCGTTCCAGGAAAACCATCTGCTTGCCTTGGCAAGTCCGCCCTTGAGCCTCCACGATTCCAATTGCTCGGGAATGGAGTCAAAGATCTCCCTGTCGGAGCACCCTTCCATACCAAAATCATTGGCAATTCTCTCTTTCAATGCCTGAAACCATTGGCAGTCCTGAGCTGCTTCAAAACTTGATTTCAAATATGATTTGTTCCAGTAGCCTACATTCGCAAACAAACAAAATCAACAACCAACTTCAGCAAAAAAGTGAGATCCAAGCAAATGACCCAGGATCAAAGCTGTTGGATTCAAAGAATGCTTCCAAGATCTGAGTTTTTTCCGTAAACCATTGGCCACTTCCAAAAGGCTTGGTGTTGACGCTGAACAGATACGTTGTTGCCAAAACACAAGATTCCAAGCCAGCTGCTTTGATTGGGTTTTTCAGGTCTCTCAACAGGCGGTGAATCTTGTCGAAGGTGAAGTGGATTTGGAGGCCAGCTTGGGAAGTGACAAAGGCAGCAGCTGCGCAGCCAACTTTGCCTTGGTCCATGATGCAATGCAAACAAGGCAAATCAGACAATTGACGTAATTGACTTAATTGAAACTCCTCTCCATTCAGCACTGCGACATTGTCGTCAAAGAAGAAGTTATCGCCTGGTTGCAGCTCCAACATTTTGAGCAAGACTTCAGGAAATTTAAAATCATCCGAGCGAAGGTCAGTCAACTTGCATATCTGGGCCGAAAGGCCTTGCAAGAACTTCAAGCTGCTAAGCCGTTCAATTTCCCGTCTCGCTGCCAAGCGCTCTGCTTCTGGTGTCAGCTCCATCTCCTGTGGGTGTAACACTTTTGTTGACTCAAAATGTCTCAAAATGTCTCAAAATGTCTCAAAATGTCTCAAAATCACCTCAAAATTTCTCAAAATGTCATTTTTGAGCAATTTTGAGCAATTTTGAGCAATTTGAGCCATTTTGAGCCATTTTGAGCAATTTTGAGCAATTTTGAGCAGATTTTTTGGGCAGGTATAAGTATTTTTTAAGCAATTTTGAACAATTTTGAGCAGATTTTTTGGGTAGGTATAAGTACTTTTTAAGCAATTTTGAGCAATTTTGAGCAATTTTGAGCAGATTTTGTGGGCAGGTATTTTGAGCAATTTTGAGCAATTTTGAGCAGATTTTGTGGGCAGGTATTTTGAGCAATTTTGAGCAGATTTTGTGGGCAGGTATTTTGAGCAATTTTGAGCAGATTTTTGTGGGCAGGTATAAGTACTTTTAAACAATTTTGAGCAATTTTGAACCATTTTGAGCATTTTTTAGCATTTTTTTTTGGGCAGATATAAGTCCTTTTAAATAAGTTTGAGCAATTTGGAGCAATTTTGAGCAGATTTTTTGGGCAGGTATAAGTACTTTTAAGCAATTTTGAGCAATTTTGAGCAGATTTTTTCTTTTGGCAGGTATAAGTATTTTTAGAACAATTTTGAGCAATTTTGAGAAGTTCATACAAGTATTCATAGTTTTGAATATTTACATCCATGCACTTGACATTATGTATTCATATCTAAATTTAAATTCTGAAAGTATATTGTGTGAGTATATTGGTGAATATTGAATCCAACTGAAACAGCTGAAGCAACTCAATTGATTGACAATGACCAATTGACACAATTGAATCATGTACTGCAAATTGATGCTTGAGACAAAGACCATGCCTGCTGTTCGAAGAACGCCACCAAGGCCAATCATTCGATCTGCCTCACACATGGGGATGTCACATAATCTGGCTATGAAGCAATGCATCAGTTGAAACAACTTGGCAGTGAAGTTTTCTGGGATGACAAATTGACTCAATTGACTCAATTGACTCACTTGAGATAATTCTATGATTTGAGAACTACACACTTTGTGCATCCTATGTTAACTGAGCCCATCCCACCAAGCTTCATCAATGATCTGCCTAACAAACAACTTTGAACAACATAAACATGAAGCATCCGCTGCCATGACAGTGTTTCACCCTGCTTCTGCAACATGATCACCTTGCACTGGGATTAGCATTCACCTTTTTTAGCTTCCTTTTTGCATGGCTGTGGTCTTTATGAGCACTAGGTCATGGCTGTTCACAGGGACCATCCACTTGCAATGATCTGCGCAAAAACGTCATTGCTTCATTCTTGCTTAAATAAAACACGACAGCATGGGCTCATAGACTGGAAACAAACACCAAACCTTGATTTCTTTGTCTGTCAAAACCATTCACTGCTTTTTGCAATAGAACATGACACAATTGATACAAATGACACAAATGCCACAAAATGATTGAGCTCAATTGGCCCAGAACATTAATTATGCATTTCACCGCCAAGATGAACAGGCATCAAGCTCTTCTTGACCTGGAGTACAAGCGCTTCTTGACAAGTTGAAGATATTATTTTGGATATCGAATATGACATCAATGTTTTTTCAACTATCATGAAAGCTCACTCATGACATGTCAAGCCAAGTTGCGAATTGCGTTGCGCAACCAGTCATTTGACTCGAACTTGTCCCCCCAGCGAAACAACATGTTGATCCTTGGCATTGACAAACACACAATTCCAAACAACAAAGCTGAACTTCAGAAACCAATTCACACAATTCAAACCATTGTTTGCCTTGACGCAATTCCAAACCTGTTGTCCAAGCTGTGAATCAAATATCTCAACATGCAGACCAGACACATAAGCTTGATCTTGTGGCTCCGGGAGATCTTGGCATTGGAGAGCATGGTCCGCACACCCTGGTCGATATTGTAGTCGGTCAGGACCTCAGTCCTCGGTCAGAATCACAGGCAGGCATGGCATGACACCACATGAAATGAATGACATGATGCAAATGTCATAAATAATATTATATAATGAATTCACTCCTCTTCCAACAGCTGGACTGCAGCCATAGCACAACACCTCCTCCCATCCATCACCACCTTCAATATCACTGTCAAGCAAGCTCTGCAAGAAGGTAATCTGCTTCTGGATCATCTCCCGCACATAGGGCTGGCTGAGCTTCACCTATCAGCGACAAAGGGAAACAACATGATTTAATTAAATACCAATGGTATTACTCAACTGGAACCATGCAACATGTCATCCAATATGGCCACGACAAGGCTTTGTCAATTGAAACAATTGTATCCTGGCCTTCTTCTGCGCTGGGGTCATGGCTTGGAGCTCATCCACAAGCCCAAGACCTGGGGGCGGAGTGACCTCCTCTTTCTTGACGTTGGGCTGCTCCTCCTTCAGCTCCTCCTGTGGCTGCTCCTCCTTCACCTCCTCCTTCTTTGCCTCCCTCCCTGGTGGCTTGGGAGCTGGCCTGTCAGGTTTTGAAGGCATGGCCTTGGCAGCCGGGGCTTTGCTGCCACTGGCAGAAGATGACGCAATTGACCGAAATGACCCAATTGGTGCTGTGGCAATGGGCCCAATTGGTTTGGGTGGAGGTGGACCTGGTGGAGCAGGCGGTACGGATTTGCCACGCAGAAATTTGATGCTAGCCTCTGGCCAAACTTCCCTCCACAGGTTTCTGGCCCTGTCCAGGCTATGCTCGAAGTCATCCTCGGTCCAGGCCACACCTGTCAAGTCGTCGAAAAGGTTCTGAGTCAGGGTTCGCAGGTTCCTTAGCAACACTGAGCGACCAACAAGTCGTTGAATGAGTCAATTGAGGCAATTGAATCAATTGAAAACATTACAAGAATCAATTGAGGCAATTTAATTGGGGCAAATGTTGATGGTTAAAAACCATTAATGTTTGAAGACAGAACTTATTGTGAATGTAAGAGAACTGAATTGTTTCGCATTTCGATCCCACAAGTTTATCACTACAACCCCCCAAGTGAAGCATCCAAACAGCTCAGCTCAATTTGAGGCAAGACACACATTGGGCGAACCCTGAAGAAACGCAATGGTGTTACAGGAATCCAGCTGCGGATTCATGCTCAGCTTTGCGCTGTAGAGCACCACTTCGCACCCTGCCATCTGCAAGATCCGGATGATGACACTGGCCGTCCCAAGTGTCCGGTGCCAGCCCCAACTGCAAGTCAGCCTCAGCAAGACAAGTCTGAATGTGTAAACGTTGAAGCTTTGACTGAGGGAAATTGCTCTTCTGAAATTCACATCAAAACTGTGAATTGCTCCAACACATTCAAATGACACAATTGCAAGCATCACAAGAAGAATAATAGGTCAAGACTAGCCAAATGCAGACAGGAAACCGGACGATGTTCCCTGGCCGGGACAAAATGTCCAGGACCACCGACTTGAACTCGCTGTGGCGGATGACCTAAATAAGAGAAGTGCTACAAGGACTATGGACAAAGGCCCATGGAGCAATTGATCCATAACAACTGGCTCAATTGACAGCGCATGCCATTTGACAACAATTGATTCAATTGACAATATTTAATTCAAACACCACTACCACTTGACAGCTTGACTCAATTGACTCAATTGACAACCTGCTTGCCATTCTGATGCCAAGCCACTTCCTCCTGCACCTCCGTGTGCAGGCCGCTCATCTTCTGCTTGGTCTTGTCGTGCTCCTCGAAGCTCCTGAGCATCCAACCCCGAACCACAATGATGATATCATCATCAATGCATTCAAACATTGTGATTGTGATCGTAATTAATGCATCAAAGGCACTGGCGTGAAAGCTTCAACGGAAGCCGGTGCTCCCACACCTCCTTCATCGGATTACGAAGGTGACCACATAACTTTTCGATAATCCTGACCACCTCAGGTGGTGGATCCTGCAAACAATGAAATGCACAAAGCAACTTGATCAAATCAAACACAGATCAAACACAGCCGCTAGAGAACTATGCAAACGTGCATAAATTATTGTCAATTTCCATGATGATCTTGACACAAGGCTCTGTCCTTCCAACCACGTCTGGCATTGCCCGATCCATACCCCAGGATTGCGACTCGTGCCGGCCAGTGGACCACTTGTGTGTTCCAAAGCATGATAGGAACCTGACATCATTATACCAAAGCAGACCCACCCAATTGACACAATCACTGCACTACATCCAAAGCAGACAATTGCCAGCACTTCAACACTTCACATGGCTGACACAATTAACACAATTAACACACTTGATCCAAACCAGCCAATGTGATTCAGCAAACTTCTTTGATAAGCCAAGAAACTGCGGTTTGGTCACTTTTTTTTTGTTCCACCCGACGTTGTCATACTTGATGCCCTTGTTCTGGTGGTACCTTGGTAATGAACCAGCTGAAAGCCATCATTGGCAACAATCAAAGCAGAACATCCTGCAATGCAGGTAAGTTACTCCTTCACCTTTTGCCTCGTAATCGACAGAACGTACTTGAGGATGTCAGTAGGCTTCTTCTTCTCCACCAAATCCCTGAGTAACAAACAAGTGAATTGAATTGACCCACACTTTCTCTGACAATTGACCCAATTGAAGAGAACTCACCACAACAAACGTTAAACATCATCAAATGAAACATAGAAGCCCAAATCAGCAAACTTAATCCCCACTTCTTTGATCCAAGAGGCACCAAGTCCTGGGCGTTGCTTGGGCACTCAAGGTAGATGAAGTAGAGTGCCTCAAGCAAGCAGTTTGCTAATGCACTATTCCCAGATTCTAGTAACAACGTTGGGATTTATCTTCTGACACTCTTGAAATAAGATAATAAATGATCCAACTGCTCAATTGCGTTTGTTTCATGTGCGATCAAGCGACCTGTTGCGCTTTCCTTGGCCACTTGCTCACCGATGGGCGCCACTCAGACGGCAGGTATTGCAAAGCAATCGAGCCCGAAGACATAAGTT